TCACGTGACCTCGAGGTCATCATGTATATCATTCCATGCGTCTTGACGAGCTGAACACAATGAGACCATCCACGCGTCTGTATCTTATTCCTGTACGGAGTTATTGGCCAAAAACCTTTGGTGACCTTTGATGACGTCACATGACCTCACAGCTGCCCAACAGCAAAACAGACCTCAAGGTAGTGAAGGTTGATCGTATATGAAGTCATGTATGGTATATGGGGCCATTCCGACCCGTTTTAGTGGTAAGAACAGGGAGCTGATTTTTCCCCCATTGACTTATAATGGGGAGGTCGCGAAACTGGCCTGACCTTAGGTCACCGATATCAAAATTCCGAGATATACAAATTGCACATACTGGTAGGGTAGACCGGGGCAAGTCGCCCCGCCGAGGTAAAACGCCTCACCGATGTTTCTCGGAACTGGCAAGGTTCTGGGGAAACATCCTCTCTTCTATAAAACGTGCACTATATGATCATTATATGAGCAAACTGGAAAGAAATTGTGATAACTCTTTAGGGAGATATAGCCAAAAATTTGTTTTTGGAGTGATTTTTATGTTTTGCAGTCAGATTATGCATCATGGCGTTCTTTTATTGTCCACATTAGGTTAACGACTTTTATGTATTTTGAACAACTAGTGTCTAACGCTTATAATAATGGGTTGGTCCGTTTTAAATTATCTCTTGCTGGAGTGCAAGGCGTGTTCTCTGGCCGAACTACGTGATGGGATAAAACGCCCCAGTAGGTCGCGGGGCAAAAAGCCCCATGGGGCGTTTTACCTCATGTGTTGTTCCGAATACCCACTTCCTAATGTTCGGTAACTGGCGAACAGTAAGTTTCTATGCAATTTTATGTGCTTTTCTCAGCAAATTAATGGCAAAGGAAGTATTTTGTTAACATTTGCATTGCAATAATTTATTATTTGGCCTTATGAGCCAGGTGAAAAACCTGTACATACAATAGTTTCATAGCTGAACACCTGACAGGATGGAAGGTGCTTACTTCAGTTCCGTGCCTCCCAAGGTCTAGCGGGCCTCTCATATAAGATTTAGTCAACTAGCATGTTTAATCTTTAATCTAGAGTATGGGGCTTCTTGCCCCAGGCCGTGGGGCGTTTTGCCCTGGGGTTGGGGCAAAATGCCCCATTTGCAGTTGCTTCACAAATCACTTCCTAGCTGGGAGTTCGATCATAAGTGAATGAATTTGACGTGTGGAATTTAAAGTAAAATGTCCAAAGAACGCATTGAGCACAAATTTGGCCTTCCAGGTGATGTGGGACAAAAGTTATGTAGCAAAATAAATTATCTGGGGCGTCTTGCCCCAGGCTACCCTACCCTAACTAAAGCCTGAAGAGAAGAAATTGATCGGTCAAAAACTCTAGCTCTGGCGTGATTGCAAACTTTTCTGAGGTAGGGTCACCAAACCGCCTCTGGTGACCTGACCTGAGGTCAGATCAACTCAAAATTTTCAGACATGTTGCGTAGAAGCCTTTTAGGAAAAGTCAGAAAATTTGAGCTTCCTAGCTCAACGCGTTTGGGAGAAATAACCAAAAAACCTCAGGGGGGGCTCCTGAGGCCCCCCCCGCCAGGAATAGGGTTAAGGGACCCTTAAATGGCCAGTTTTAGGTTCAACCCGCGCGGGGCTGGGGGGGGTAAATTATACCCCTTCGCGAATTTTTGCAATATCTCAAAAACGGCGGCGCGCAGCGCCGCCAAACTTTTAGTACCTTTTCTTATATCAATTTGATTCGTTCCCTGAAAATTTGAGCGAAATCCGTCGGATAATTTTTGAGAAATTGACGTTTTAGTGGCGTCATGTTCGCCATTTTTGCCTCAAAAACGGCAAAATTTCAAACGCCGCTAACATCTTCATTTTTAAAGGAATCAAGACGTTACAAAAAAGGTTATACGTAATTTACTTTGTATATCAAATGGCAATCTCGGTTTTTTGAAATTTTTGGATTTTGGCCCATTTTTTTTCTCAAAAAACTGACTTTTTTGGGAAAAGAAGTATAAAATGCAAAATTTTGGGTGTATAAAAAACCGGAATATATGTCAGAGAAGTGGTCTATGTGCACCTACATACCAATTTTTAGAAGAATCGGTTCAAAAATTTGGGAGTTATTCAAAGTTTTATGACGTCACGACACAAATATTTTGAAAAATGATTTTTTTTGGAAGTTCTAGACCTCTTACGGAAACAAAAATAGCACCATTCGATTCGCCGTGAAAAACTGCATCAGATAGACACCTTTTTAGGCCTTAACAACCAACTTCAAAATTTGACCTCACTTGACCTGACCTTGACCTGAACTCGACCTGAAATTCATCCAGAGGTGGTCCATATCACTTATTGAGTGTGCCTATTGAATTCTATGAGTAAAATGACCCATAAAACATGTGTCGCACATGCCCTTTTATATATTTTGTTTTTTGGTGACCTGACCTGACCTGACCTGACCTTGACCTTAACCTCTGAATGATATTGTATGCAACGAATATTGTCTTGGTAGCCTAAGAACACGTTTTGGGCAATCAGTCTCAGTCCATGTCTCCATTCTTCGGCAACTACGGTGCAAGGCCGATACTGTAGAAACTTGCAATTTGTACCCTTGACCTGACCTTGACCTTGACCTCAAACTTTAAATTAAGTACATGTTTTTAGTTGTTCTTGATGAGAGCTTTCGATTGGCGTTTGAATTTTCCAAATCGGACCATTAGTTCGGGAGATAACAGGGGGGGGGGGTAAAATTTACCCCCCCCAGCCCCGCGCGTTCGGCTGGAGACCCCAGCCCCGCGCGGGTTAAAGGTTTAGGGCCAGTGGAGGGCCCTCAGAGGTCAATGTGGGTCCTCGGCGGTCAATGTGGGCGTTTGACCGCCACTGAAGGTCAGTGTAGGATCCTCAAAGACCGGTACGGGGGCTCTTAATAGCTAGCGTGGGTTTCTTGAGCCTCGTGGCAATCAATAAGGGCCAGGGGCCCACACGCCCATGGGAACCACCCATCGGTTGTTTTAGGGGGAAGGGGGCAAATTATATGATGAACCCCCTGATTTGCTTTTGAGGTGCCAGCCGCTGATGACCCCTCCCCCTGCGACCGCCACTGGACATTTTGCCTGAAGGAAGGAGTGGGAAGGCCTATATCAAGGCGTTGACATTTTGTGTTTTGTGAAGAACAACATCGGGAGAGTGGTGTCAATTTTTTCTCTTTTGGCATTTCAGTTCCTTGAAGGGGAGCATAATTTCAATTAAACATCTTTTTCAAGTGGCTTTTTTCCCTTTAGGCAAGCTACTAAGTGGTTCGGTGAGGCAGCAATGCTTTACATACATTACATATCATATCCACAGTGCTTGCACGCATGTCTGATAGCATGATGGTTACAATGTGCTTTGTATATTACCTTCCTTTTGCCACCAGCACACAGACGATTCTCTTATCTTTAGTTAGGTAGGTACATAATGTATAATCATTTGAACAGTTATAGATACCTTCCTTATATGTTTATGTCATCGTTGTTTAGGAAGGCTATAGCATACATTTTGAAAACTTTATATGAAATTTCAATAAAGTTTGAGTCGTTTTTGACCTTCTTCATCTATTCACACTGTTGTCAGTCAGCTTAATCGGTAGGTAACGGCTGTTGAGCATTTGCATTTTTTTGCAATACATTTTTGTTGTTATATTCTAAAAACTAATACATTAACTAAATAGAGTCGCTATGCTTTCAGCTGCCTGCAAGATTGATGCACGACGTATTATCAATAACAGTCGAATCCTCAAAATGGCCAATGCCCTAGAAGAAGAGCCGGAATGGATGCGCCAAGCAAAAATGACAGACGGTGGTAGCATGAGAAAGAGGATGAAGAGAGAAGTTACAGAATCCCAGGTAAACTACGTTTTCATATTCACTTCTGATTCTCATGATTGTCTTCATAAAGAAATAGTTTGTTCCTGCATATCGAGACGGAATCAAACCGCCCAACATAAAATGTCCCTCCATTTACAAATCTATTGGCTGGTATGGGACATAGCTTTTAAATCACACATTTTTTTTATCAATCTATCCGTGAACGAAGTGGTTCTTTACTACTGAAGTAGTAACATATACACCAAACGCTGCACTGGGCCATTGCAGGAGAACCTGGACGCGATGAGCTCGATCGCGTCGACGACGAGTCTGCTGATCGCAGCGGACATGACGACCCCGGAGATGACGACCGAGACGGCCGACGGCACGGTGACGACGACGCCGGCCGTGACCACCGTCCTGCCGACGCTGAGCACCGCCACCACGCCGACCACCGCCGGGAGCTCCCAGGTGACCGCAGTCACCAGTGACCGAACCTCGGCTGCTGGTGCGCTGTACACTACCGCCGCTGCCGAAATATCGGCGGCCACTAGCGGGACCTATTCTGCCGCAACAAGTCACATGTCGGGAGCCACGACATCGCCCACGGACGAAACACCAGGAGCCGTCAGTGAGTCTTCGGTAGATCCTGGTGAGACTAAATCCACTAGCGAAGCGCCTGTGATCGCGGTTGAAACGGCGGCCAGCACCGGACCGTCGTCATCGACCAGCGGGGCCGCGCTGACCACTAGTGAGGCGTCAACATTTGCTGGTGGTGTTTCCACGACCACCAGTGAGGCGTCCACAGCCACTGCTGAGCTTATCACGACCATTAGTGAGGCGTCCATAACCGCTGATGACGTTACCACGACAACTAGTGAGGCGTCCACAGCCGCTGCTGAGGTTTCCACGACCACTAGTGAGGCGTCCACAGCCACAAATGATGTTTCCACGACCATTAGTGAGAGGTCCACAGCCGCCGCTGAGTTTATCACGACCACCAATGAGGCGTCCACAGCCGCTACTGATATTACCACAACTAGTGAGGCGTCGACAACCGCTGGTGGTGGTACCACGACCAATAGTGAGGGGTCCACATCGGCTGGTGAAGCTACCAACAATGATGCGTCTTCAACCGCTGGAAATGTTACCATGACAACTAGTGACGCGACCACAGACGGCAATGATATTACCACGACAACTAGTGAGGCGTCGACAACCAATGGTGGTGGCACCACGACCACTACTGAGGCTTCCACAGCCGCTGGTGATGTTACCATGACCACTAGTGAGGCGTCCACAGCCGCTGCTGAGGTTTCCACGACCACTAGTGAGGCGTCCACAGCCCCCGGTGATGGTACCACGACCATTATTGAGACGTCCACAGCCGCTGTTAAAGAAAGCACCACCACTAGTGAGGCGTCCGCAGCCACAAATGATGCTCCCACGACCATTAGTGAGGCATCCACAGCCGCTGCTGAGGCTACCACAGCCACTAGTGAGGCGTTCACCGCCACAAATGACGTTTCCACGACCACTAGTGAGGTGTCCACATCCGCTGGTGAGTTTATCACGACCACCAATGAGGCGTCCACAGCCGCTACTGATATTACCACAACTAGTGAGGCGTCGACAACCGCTGGTGGTGATACCAGGACCACTAGTGAGGCGTTCACATCCACTGGTGAAGCTAACCCTACCACTAATGAGGCGTCTTCAACCGCTGGGGATGTTGCCATGACCACTAGTGAGGCGACCACAGCCGGTAATGACATAGCCACGACGACTAGTGAGGCGTCGACAACCGCTGGTGGTGGTATCACGACCACTAGTGAGACGTCCATCGCGACAAATGATCTTTCCACGACCACAAGTGAGACGTCCACAGCCGCTGGTGATATTACCACGACCACTAGTGAGGCTTCCACCGCCACAAAAGATGTTTCCATTACTACTACTGAGGATTCCACAGCCGCTGGTGATGTTACCATGACCACTAGTGAGGCGTTCACAGTCGCTGCTGAGGTTTCCACGACCACTAGTGAGGCGTCTTCAGCCACAAATGATGCTCCCACGACCACTAGTGAGGCGTCCACATTCGCTGGTGAGCCTAACACAGCCACTAGTGAGGGGTTCACCGCCACAAATTATGTTTCCACGACCACTAGTGAGAGTTCCACAGCCGCCGCTGAGTTTATCACGACCACCAGTGAGGCGTCCACAGCCGCTAGTGATATCACCAGGACGACTATTGAGGCGTCGACAACCACTGGTGGTGGCACCACGACCACTAGTGAGGCGTCCACATCCGCTGGTGAAACTACCACCAATGAGGCGTCTTCAACCGCTGGAGATGTTACCATGACCACTAGTGAGGCGACTACAGCCGGTAATGATATTACCACGATAACTAGTGAGGTGTCGACAATCGCTGGTGGTGGAACCACGACCACTGGTGAGGCGTCCACCGGCACAAAAGATGTTTCCACGACCACTACTGAGGCTTCCACAGCCGCTGGTGATGTTACCATGACCACTAGTGAGGCGTCCACAGCCGCTGCTGAGGTTTCCACGACCACTAGTGGGGCGTCCACAGCCACCAGTGATGATACCACGACCACTAGTGAGACGTCCACAGCCGCTGTTGAAAAAAGCACCACCACCAGTGAGGCGTCTACAGCCACAAATGATGCTTCCACGACCACTAGTGAGGCGTCCACAGCAGTTGCTCAGGTTACCACAGTCACTAGTGAGGCGTTCACCGCCGCAAATGATATTTCCACGACCACTAGTGAGAGTTCCACAGCCGCCGCTGAGTTTATCACGACCACCAATGAGGCGTCCACAGCCGCTACTGATATTACCACAACTAGTGAGGCGTCGACAACCGCTGGTGGTGATACCACGACCACTAGTGAGGCGCCCACATCCGCTGGTGAAGCTACCACCAATGAGGCGTCTTCAACCGCTGGGGATGTTACCATGACCACTAGTGAGGCGACCACAGCCGGTAATGATATTACTACGATAACTAGTGAGGCGTCCGTTGGTGGTGGTACCACGACCACTAGTGAGACGTCCATCGCGACAAATGATCTTTCCACGACCACAAGTGAGGCGTCCACAGCCGCTGGTGGTGGAACCACGACCACTAGTGAGGCGTCCACAGCCGCTGCTGAGGTTTCCACGACCACTAGTGAGGCGTCCAGAGCCGCTGCTGAGGTTTCCACGACCACTAGTGAGGCTTCCACCGCCACAAAAGATGTTTCCATTACTACTACTTGGGATTCTACAGCCGCTGGTGATGTTACCATGACCACTAGTGAGGCGACCACAGCCGGTAATGATATTACCACGATAACTAGTGAGTTGTCGACAACCGCTAGTGGTGGAACCACGACCACTAGTGAGGCGTCCATCGGCACAAAAGATGTTTCCACGACCACTACTGAGGCTTCCACAGCCGCTGATGATGTTACCATGACCACTAGTGAGGCGTCCACAGCCGCTGCTGAGGTTTCCACGACCACTAGTGGGGCGTCCACAGCCACAAGTGATGATACCACGACCACTAGTGAGACGTCCACAGCCGCTGTTGAAGAAAGCACCACCACCAGTGAGGCGTCTACAGCCACAAATGATGCTTCCACGACCACTAGTGAGGCGTCCACAGCAGTTGCTCAGGTTACCACAGTCACTAGTGAGGCGTTCACCGCCGCAAATGATATTTCCACGACCACTAGTGAGAGTTCCACAGCCGCCGCTGAGTTTATCACGACCACCAATGAGGCGTCCACAGCCGCTACTGATATTACCACAACTAGTGAGGCGTTGACAACCGCTGGTGGTGATACCACGACCACTAGTGAGGCGTTCACATCCACTGGTGAAGCTAACCCTACCACTAATGAGGCGTCTTCAACCGCTGGAGATGTTGCCATGACCACTAGTGAGGCGACCACAGCCGGTAATGACATTACCACGACAACTAGTGAGGCGTCGACAACCGCTGGTGGTGGTATCACGACCACTAGTGAGACGTCCATTGCGACAAATGATCTTTCCACGACCACAGGTGAGGGGTCCACAGCCGCTGGTGATATTACCACGACCACTAGTGAGGCTTCCACCGCCACAAAAGATGTTTCCATTACTACTACTGGGGATTCCACAGCCGCTGGCGATGTTACCATGACCACTAGTGAGGCGACCACAGCCGGTAATGATATTACCACGATAACTAGTGAGTTGTCGACAACCGCTGGTGGTGGAACCACGACCACTAGTGAGGCGTCCACCAGCACAAAAGATGTTTCCACGACCACTACTGAGGCTTCCACAGCCGCTGATGATGATACCATGACCACTAGTGAGGCGTCCACAGCCGCTGCTGAGGTTTCCTCGACCACTAGTGGGGCGTCCACAGCCACCAGTGATGATACGACCACTAGTGAGACGTCTACAGCCACAAATGATGCTTCCACCACCACTAGTGAGGCGTCCACAGCAGTTGTTCAGGTTACCACAGTCACTAGTGAGGCGTTCACCACCGCAAATGATATTTCCACGACCACTAGTGAGAGTTCCACAGCCGCCGCTGAGTTTATCACGACCACCAATGAGGCGTCCACAGCCGCTACTGATATTACCACAACTAGTGAGGCGTCGACAACCGCTGGTGGTGATACCACGACCACTAGTGAGGCGTCCACATCCGCTGGTGAAGTTACCCCGACCACTAATGAGGCGGCAACAACCGCTGGTGATGTTACCATGACCACTAGTGAGGCGTCCACAGCCGCTGCTGAGGTTTCCACGGCCACTAGTGATGCGTCCACAGCCACCGGTGATGGTACCACGACCATTATTGAGACGTCCACAGCTGCTGTTGAAGAAGGCACCGCCACTAGTGAGGCGTCCACAGTCACAAATGATGCTTCCACGACCACTAGTAAGGCGTCCACAGCCGCTGGTGATGTTACCCTGACCACTAGTGAGGCGTCCACAGCCGCTGCTGTGGTTACCATGACCACTAGTGAGGCGTCCACAGTGAACGGTGATGGTACCACGACCACTAGTGAGACGATCACAGCCGCTGTTGAAGAAAGCACCACCACTAGTGAGGCGTCCACAGTCACAAGTTCTGCTCCCACGACCACTAGTGAGTCGTCCACAGCCGCTGCTGAGGTTTCCACGACCACTAGTGGGGCGTCCACAGCCGCTGCTGAGGTTTCCACGGCCACTAGTGAGGCGTCCACAGCCACCGGTGATGGTACCACGACCACTAGTGAGACGTCCACAGCCGCTGTTGAAGAAAGCACCACAACTAGTGAGGTGTCCACAGCCACAAATGATGCTCCCACGACCACTAGTGAGGTGTCCACATCCGCTGATTCTCTTACCACGACAACCAGTGAGGCGTCCACAGCCACTACTGACTTTACCACGACCACTAGTGAGGCGTCTACAGCCACAAATGATATTTCCATGACCACTAGTGAGAGTTCCACAGCCACCGCTAAGTTTATTACGACCACCAATGAGGCGTCCACAGCCGCTACTGATATTACCACGACAACTAGTGAGGCGTCGACAACCGCTGGTGGTGATACCACAACCACTAGTGAGGCGCCCACATCCGCTGGTGAAGCTACCACCAATGAGGCGTCTTCAACCGCTGGGGATGTTACCATGACCACTAGTGAGGCGACCACAGCCGGTAATGATATTACTACGATAACTAGTGAGGCGTCCGTTGGTGGTGGTACCACGACCACTAGTGAGACGTCCATCGCGACAAATGATCCTTCCACGACCACTAGTGAGGCGTCCACAGCCGCTGGTGATATTACCACGACCACTAGTGAGGCTTCCACCGCCACAAAAGATGTTTCCATTACTCTTACTGAGGATTCCACAACCGCTGGTGATGTTACCGCGACCACTAGTGAGGCGTCCACAGCCGCTGCTGAGGTTTCCACGGCCACTAGTGAGGCGTCCACAGCCACCGGTGATGGTACCACGACCATTATTGAGACGTCCACAGCCGCTGTTGAAGAAGGCACCGCCACTAGTGAGGCGTCCACAGTCACAAATGATGCTTCCCCGACCACTAATGAGGCGTCCACAGCCGCTGCTGTGGTTATCACGACCACTAGTCAGGCGCCCACAGCCTCTGCTGAGGTTACCATGACCACTAGTGAGGCGTCCACAGCCGCTGGTGATGTTACCATGACCACTAATGAGGCGTCCACAGCCGCTGCTGAGGTTTCCACGACCACTAATGAGATGTCCACACCGAACGGTGATGGTACCACGACCAGTAGTGAGACGATCACAGCCGCTGTTGAAGAAAGCACCACTACTAGTGAGGCGTCCACAGTCACAAGTTCTGCTCCCACGACCACTAGTGAGGCGTCCACAGCCGCTGCTGAGGTTACCACAGTCACTAGTGAGGCGTTCACCGCCACAAATGATGTTTCCACGACCACTAGTGAGAGTTCCACAGCTGCTGCTGAGTTTATCACGACCACCAGTGAGGCGTCCACAGTCACTAGTGATATTACCACGATAACTAGTGAGGCGTCGACAAACGCTGGTGATGGTACCACGGCCACTAGTGATGCGTCCACATCCGCTGGTGAAGTTACCCCGACCACTAATGAGGCGTATTCAACCGCTGTAGATGTTACCATGACCAGTAGTGAGGCGCCCACAGCCGCTGATGATGTTGCCACGGCCACTAGTGCAATATTCACGGCCACAGCAGATCAAGCTTCAAGCAGTTCAAGCATAGAGAATGTTACTGCGTCCAGTGCGCCGACGTCGCAGTCAGAACAGTCCACAGCTGCCGAGTCCTCATCATCCAACCAGTTTTCTGGTACGATCGTCTCCACATCAGGAACGACTGCTACTCTGAGCGCTGTACAAACGACGGGGTCAAATGAAACCTCCACGCAGCTGCCTTCGTCGTCTTCTCCTGGGACGGGCATTGACTCGTCGCAGACGACAGTTTCGTCGTCGGCCGGTACGACCGTGTTCTGGGGATCCAGCGTCTCCAGCTACGCCACGACGGAGCCGTCTCTGACTTCCTGGCCCACCCAGAGCGTCAGTTCGGCGTCAGAGCCGGTGGCGACGGCCACCTCGACGGTACCGCCTCCGGAGGGGGCGACGGCGGAGCGGGCCTCTGGCGCCACAGAGTCCACCGGTAAGGCGACACCGCGCACGGACTGCGCCGTACATTGTCAAACACGGACTTCGTGTGTGAAAGTACTACGTCAATTATTGGCATTAAATCATTGGGATCATTGAGCAGTTGGGTGTTGTTTTCAACGTTAGTATCGAAATTAATTAGATCTGATTTGATTGTGTGATTGCTGTAATTAATGTACAAGGACAGAGTAAAGAGACAAAATAAGTTGATAGATACGTAAGCTGAAACATCAGTTCGGAAAAATTTCAGCTTTCTTAATCAAACAACAATTACATTAATCTACACCACAGCAGGGACGAGGTGGCATTCACAGTGTTACTGAAACTTTAAAATTAAAGTACCTACACATTTTCAGTTAAAAAAATCAAAGCCAGAAGTAATTGATGCCTACACGCAGAGAACGGAAAGGTGGAAAACTGCATGCGTTTCAGTAGAGGCGTAGCCTGAGCTGGACAGCACAAAGAGACAACAAAAAAAAACAAGCACTGATACAAATATCAAGCATGTTAAACAACACATCGCTCACACAACTAATGCTATAGCATGCCAGAATCTACGAATCTCGCCATAATGATGTCGTCAACCTCGGCAGCTGTCCCGGATTGCACGGATTGATGTGACCGCTGCTGAAAATCCCTAATCCACTGCTTCAGGAAGCGCCGCAGGACATTCCATAGCCGCTGCAAGTGGTACTGCTCATCCTACACTCACATCTCGTAAATTTGCCACCAACAACACTTCAAAGTCTACCTCGATAGCGTTAATGGCATGCGATTCCTTGTTTTTCATGGCAAACACTCCTGCCATTACTTACGGCCACTATTATCGTCGGCACTTGTATCAGCACAGGACTCCGCTCCATGTCGTCGATGTCTTTGGAAGTGATACTGCAAGAACGTTCCCACTCATCGAAGGGGATCGGTGCGGAAGATGTGACAGCTACTGCAGATACAAAGCAGCCGGTCTTTTTCTGCCTTTGGTCCAGCAAGCATCAGCAGTGTATCAGCACCAGAGGAAGCGGCTTGAGAGGGTAGCGCCGAAGTAACCGTGACTGGAACTGAGTCCACTTCAAAAACTTGATCTGCGCAACAAAGAGTGGTCATGGTCACATCAGACCGATACTGACTGGCCTACTGACTGCATCAGTAGGCCCTACTGACGGCACCAATACAGCCACAACGGATAGCCGCTTTCTTGTTTTGGTCGTTGTTGCTGCCCAGAGAGACGTACTTGCCTGTAGGTCGATAACAGAAGCAATTCATACCGGTTGTATTTCTACAGCATGTGATTTTCTAATAAGTTGTGGATACAGTACATTATCAGCATCATAAGCAACAACAGAAATAACAGCAACATCCAAAATAACACCAAGAACAGCAATAACAACGACAACAACAAAGTGATAACAACAACCTCAGCAAAAACAGCGGAAACAGCGACAAGTCTATTTTTCAACAGCAATTGCGTCACTACATAGAATTGAAATTCGTTACTATTGACCCTACAGTAACAGGACAATCAATTGCAGCTGATGCAACTTCAACCAGCGAGTCGACGGAAGGCACATCTCATGCTGCCAGCAGCACTGTTGTGACAACTGGGGACCGCAGCTCAGCTTCTCCCAATGGCGGAGATGCCATTTTGACGACTGCTGCATCGGCTGCCACTCACCCGGACACCGGTATAACAGGTACCCGTCTTTGAATAAACTTGGTCAGCCTTGTCCTGCAGTGCTTGCTGGTACTCTGTTTCCTTGATGATAATTTTATCCAGCATTTGTTTGTTAGATGTTTCTAGTGTTCCTGTAGCATTCGTTAACCCGCGCCCAGCTGGGCTATTCAGCAATATGCGCCCCACTGGGGAGGGGCAGATTATCCCCCTGTCTAACTTCCAAACCGATGGTTGTAGGAATACGGAAAAGAAGACAATCAAAAGCTCTCCACAATACGGATATTTGGAACAAAATACTTTAGTCTTTTAGGTGAGCTTGACATTTATGTGAGCTTGACATCCACGCTAACCTTCCAGGCGGTGGGGGTAGGGCATTTTTTGCCCCCCCCCCTTTAGTTTTTTTTTTCGATATATCTCCAGAACCGCTGCGCCGATCATCACCGAACTTTCAGTACCCTCCCGTGAATAGCTTTTACACATTGTGACCAATTTTTTTTCCAAAGGCTATGATGGGTTGGCCGCTAATGACGTCGGAGTGACGTCATTTCTGTCATTTTCGACCCAAAAAAGGTTTCGCGGAAAGAGCTGTCAGGCCTACAGCTTTAGAGATGCAGAAAAATATTTCATATGTAAGGGGCTCAGAACTAACAGGGCAACAAAATTGCTATCTTGGATTTTTGAAATTTTTAGATTTCAACCCCTAAAAATAAAAATATTTTTTTTGCATACATATTATAGCCGAAAAATCCATTTTCTTTTAATTTAGAAAAAACTGTAATATATGTATGGGAGAGTCCTGACTGCCGTTTATCCACATACCAAATTTGAGATTGATACCTTTCCTTTTGGCCAAGTTATAGCAAAAAAAAACACCGTTTAAAATTGATGACGTGAAATTTTCTAACTCAATTTTTAGCAGACCACGTAACAAAGACCACCATTAGACTTCCCGTGATGAGCTGCATCGAATCAATACCATTTTATGCAAAACTATCAACTTTGAAATTTAACCTTTTTTACCTGACCTTGACCTGACCTCCACCAGAAAGTGACCTAAACCGTTGCTGGTCGTCTTATAACCAACACCACTGAGTTGGAAATGAAAAAAGTGGTCATAAAACATGCATCGCACAACCTTAGTAAAGGTGGGTTCATGTGCTGACCCTTGGTGACCTGACCTTTGACCTGACCTGGCATTATCAGTGACTTCTGATAGCAACATATATATGTACTATGCAACTGACGCCCTATCGCTGATTTTCGACAAAATGCGTTTCACTCGATGTTATAGCGCATTCCCTAGAAGACCCGTGAACGGTAAAACATTTTAAATTTGACCTGACCTGTGACGTCATCGGCGACCCCAAAGTCAATGAAATTTGGTTTTCTTCGACAAATTTGACAGGGCTATCGAACGCCCTTTGAGTTTTACGAATCCGTTTATGTATTAGTTTCGGAGATACAGGGGGGGGGGGTAAAAAAATACCCCACTTCCTCACCGCGCGGAAGGTGGCTGGGAGGCCCACCGCCTGCCGGGCTAATGCATGGGAGCAGCATCATATCACATGTTTGAACGCTTGAAACCACGAAAAGACTGCATACGCGCGGCTAATGCGAGCCGACATACGCCGAATCGCGATTCCGGCCAAATATTGTCTCGGAAAGTAGGTCACAGGTCAAAAGTCATTTGGTCAGGATCATGAAATTCGTAGGGTACCTATGTGTAAAATTGATCAACGCGAGGATACTGAAAGTTTTGTTGCGATCGGTCGCATTTTACGCGAGTTATTTCCGAAAAAAAAACTTAGAAGCAGGGGGGAGGCGGCCTCAACCCTTTCCCTGTGCCGGCGAGGGTTAAGGGCAATTTATACTTCATTCGATACGTCCTGACGACAGGAATACGATGCCGGTAAACGTAAGCTCTTGCAAGGTTTGAGTTAAAAGTTATAACAGAAAAACTGTTTTCGCAGAAATTGTCTATATGCGCAGTTCTTGCCCCCTGTAGGCAAAACCGTTCACGTTAGGTCAAATCTGAGACATATATTCAGAAACGTCGTTAATAGGGTAAGCATATTAGCTTTTTCGGGGCGATCTAGCTCAATTATTTCCCGAGTTATGCGTTGGCCTGTTGCAAAATGTCGACATTCGGCCTGAAAATCGATAAAAGCAGGCGTTATGACCTCTGGTGAACTGACCTTTGACTTGACCAAAAAGTGACCGAATTTATTTCATCATTTTTTTTACATTCTTTCGAACGCCGCCTTCCCGTATCGCTACATGGCCCAGGATTCGAGTTCGAATGGGAATAATTCACCCCCACCCCACCCAGCAGGGTTGGAATTTCATGAGCATTAGCGGGGCGCGGGTTAATAGTCTTTGAAATGGTGATAAAAAGTAGGTAAGTGATTGTTTTTTACTAACACAAAGTTACTCATTTGTATCTGGATGCGATTTCCGACAGAGAGCAGTGCTAGTGCTAAGCAAAGTACCTACCACTGGGACCACATGTGATAGTTGATTTATATTTACGTCACTATGTTGTGAAAGCTGTGCCATTGGAACAGTTCATATTTGGCAGTTTTATTGAAGAATCGGCTCTCAAACTGAAAGCGACAACTCAAGAAGTAGCCATCATGGAGCTGATTAACTTTTTGGTGGTTTGCAGGCATTGAAACATCTTCTGGAAAGCAGGAAACAACTAATCCTTCAAGCAGCCTTACAAACATTACCTTATCAACAATAACTGAATCAACCATATATCAAACAAGTCCTTTGTCAAGCTCATCAGTGTCCACTGACGTTACAGATTCCAGTTTAAATGCTACATCAGGCGAAAATGATGCCGACAATACAGTCACGACCAAACTGGATGCATCGACTTCCGTCTCTAACGTAGCAGCTACCACGTCTGACAAGGGCACTTCAATAACTGCATTTTCTACTACTGAGCCCAGTACCGGCACAGACACCACTGAACTGATAACAGACATCAGCGCCGCCCCTATCACTGTCCCTGGTCTTAGTACTAATGAGATTACTACTACAGACGCCACTGAGCTGATAACAGACGTCACCGCCGCCCCTACTATCGTCCCTGGTCTCAGCAATACTGATATTACTACTACAGACGCCACTGAACTGATAACAGACGTCACCGCCGCCCCTGCTGTCGTCCCTGGCCTCAGTACTACTGACATTACTGCTACAGACACCACTGAACTGATAACAGACGTCACCGCCGCCCCTTCTATCGTCTCTGGTCTCAGTACTACTGACATTACTACTACCTACGCAACTGAACTGATAACAGACGTCACCGCCGC